ACTAGCCAATACTATAGGAAACATGTTTGCTGTTGGCTTACAAAAAAGATTATGCTGAAAAGATTTAAAATAACAAATTCGATTTTTTTTGTTGATATTATGTTTAAGAATTCCCTTGTCTAATGAGATAAGTTCGAAATTAATACGAGGTTATTGCTAAAAGGTGTGTTAAATTCAAAAATACGATAAAAATACTCACATCTAGTGAATTTTTTACTCCCAAAATTAATCCTCACAACTGAGCGTGGTTTATTCTTGCTTAGAATTTATTAACTTACTAGAAAACTTATTTTTGTTTAAGAAATATTTTTTTTTGTGTTAATATGTGGGCATTTTTGTTTATTTATGTATTTTTTGAATGAAAATCTCTTTTACGAATCTGAATGCATAAACGAACCAAAGCAAAGTGTGATGCGATTACAAAATCTATCAAAATGTTAGATACATTACATTTATCATATCTCCATTCATTTCATTCAAAAATTTAATCCACAATGACATAAATAATTAATTACTATCAAAATAAGTGTAAATAATTAATTACACGTATATTGATACTAAATTAATTTTTACAAGAGAAAATATTTGGTTTTAAGAAAATATTTGATTCGAAATACATGTAATGTCATTTTTAGGCTAATTCAATAGTTGTTTAAAAAAGAGAAATGCTGCGCATAAAATTCACAGATAATTTTTATGTTTCTGAGAAAAATAAGAGTATTATTTTGTTGGAAATAATTTATTTTTCCATTAATGACTTATGGTTTAGATTTTTATGAATTATAAATTTTTATATTTTTCTTCTTCTTCTTTTTAGTGAAACTGGGTGTCCTAGTGATAAACGCTCCCTCATAGGGCATTTATTCGAAGAATATACCCCGGACATCCTCTCACGTAAGCAAGCCACGGTAAATAACACACATATAATACAAATAGCATAAGCAGAGAAAAATTAGTGGTTGAAAAACGAAGAAAAAAAAATTTGTTTTTAAATCTTTCTGTATAATTTTTTTGGTAGCAATCAGCAAATGTTTCCTTTTTAATTTTAACCAGTAGATGGCAGCACTTAAAATACATTTTGTTAAAAATTCGCGTATATTTTAAAATGATTTTCAGTTGGGAACCAAATCAGCCATAAGTGTTCAGCAATTTTGTCAAATATAAGCCTTTCAATTCTATATTGCTTCAATAACTTAATTAAAAAAATGAACATAATTTTTCTTTTCCATTTATTTAAATTATATTCCTTAGAAGTATAAAGAATAAACCATGTTTTAATCTTTACATAACAAAAATTTTAATTAACCTTCTTGAACCAAAAATAAATAAATAATCACAAGTTAAATAAATAAGTAAAGTAAAATAAATAAATTAAAAAGCAGTAAAACACCCATTAATGAATGTTTAAAACTCCCTTAAAACTTTTGCGTTTTGGATAGTGATCTGTAATTAAAAGTGTTTTCTACATATATTATTCACTTTTATTTTTTTAGTATTTATATTTTTAATATTTATTTTTTTGTTATTTAGTTATTTATTATCGATTAATTTATTTTCCTAACTGATTTATTTATTTTCATTAATAATTAATTTTAATTATTAATTAATTTTAATTATTTATTTATTTTTATTATTAATTTATTAATAATTCTTTTTATCAGTTCGTTTTTTTATTTACTCGATTTTTTTCTCTCTCTTTTTTACACGTAGCTCTTTTCCATTCTTTTCTTTTTAAGTATTGTAATTTCAGTTTTTGCTTAGTGATACTATTGTTTGGAAAGAACTGTAAAATAATAATAATTTTACGGCAATTAAATTTAGATAATCGATATTTAAATGAAAACAATTTTTTTCCCGTCCATTTTGAAGTAAGCAAAAACGATGAAAGAAATAGAATTGTAAAGGTAAGTACGACATTAAAATGAAATTTAAAGTGTACTTTAAACTTATATTTTTGGAAGATGAATTAGTCATTGGTGTCAGAATTTACATCAGTGTCACGCCCATTGCATTTAAGTAGTAAATGTTTTTTTTTTTTTTTTTTTTTAAAAAATAAAANAAAAAAAGAAAGAAAAAACAGTGAAATGTCGAGTTTTACAGATGGAAACAGGGATTTTGCAAAATTTATAATTTTAATACTTGAATATTTCCTTCGAGTTTTCTTCTTTGTATTGGTATCCTACACTTTGCATTTAAGCTATTAATGTTTTCAAAAATGACAGCAGAATATAGAGTTTCAGCTATGGAAACGTGGCTAAAAATAACGATTAAAGGGACACTTAAACAGTTATTTTTTTCAAATTAGCACCTCAAAATCAATATTTTTAGTACATAAGCACTTTCTTTAAGTGCTAATTTTTACATGAATGTACACCTAGCATTTCAATTGTAAATGTTTTCGAAAATGGCAGTAGAATATAGTTTCAACGATGAAAATTTAGCTAAAATTAACGCTTAAAGGGATAGAGGACACTTAATTATTTTTTTCAGATTAGCACCATGAAATCGATATTTTCAGGGCATAAACATTTTCTATAAATGTCAATTTTTACGTCGATGTACACCTAAGATTTCAACTGTAAATGTTTTCAAAGGTGGCAGTGGAATTTTAAGTTTTCTTAGATGGAAATTGGGTTAAATGTTAACGTTATAAGTGATATTTAAAGAGTTTATAGCCCATATTTGCGTCGTGTACCCAATATTTGTAAAAGTATTTCAAATACTTTGTATTACAAGTTTACTGTATTACAAGTTCTTTTCTTTCGAGTGTCTTCTTTATATTGGTACTATATACTTTGCACTTGAGTTGCAAACATTTTAAAAATGGCGTGTAATATTGAGTTTTTTAAGTTTTTTTAAAAATGAAAATGTGGCTTAATTTGTAATGTTTCAAATGATACTTTAAAAAATGTTTTAAATTTTCACTGCAAAATTTTTATTCTAAGAACTAAAGAGTCTTCTACGAATGTCTTTTGTATGAGCTTTTGCTTTGTAGCTTTTTTTTTCTGAAGTTTTAACAGTGCTTTTAAATTACAGCTGAAGTTTTAACTGCGTATAAAATTAATTTTAAAAATGAGTCCCAAGAATCCAACATTTATAGCATACAAAAAAAAATTTTTTTTAAATTTAAACCACGAAAAACATACTTTTTTTTAACATTAACATTTTTAATAAGTACATCTTAGTTTTAATTATCTGCCTGATTTGCTGTTGAATTTTTATAACTGAAAATGTGACTAAATTTTTAACGTTGTATGGGAGATCTAAAATGCAATTTCAAAAATTTGTGCAAAGAAACCTTGCACAAATTTTACTTTTAAGACATACACATGTACTAATTTTAGACATACGTATGTACTAATTAATAGACATATATATGTACTAATTTTGGGTAGAGCTTGAAAATTTTTTTTATGGATTAACGTTCTTTTTTTTCATGGATTATGATATTTTATTTCAAATGTAAAAGAATGCCATATCGGCATCATGTCCTATTGACGAATTTGTGAAGATCGGCTTGTCCTTGTTGTTGTCGTCGACCATTAAAGCAGAAGGGGTGCAATTACTCTTGTTTTTCAGTGGCGCCATCTATGACCAAGAATTCGACTTCTGCTACACCCATACGCCGCACTCGTTCATAGGGCGGACCCATTCATTCATCCACAGATCGTAATTTTGATCTGAACCGGAGAACGATCAATCTCCAATTCAGCACCCCCAGAGATATAAGTTGTAATGAGGACATGGAGAACTTTGTGACCCGGTAGATTTAACGTACACCGGTGACTATTTACAACAAGGGGAGTTTTCGGCCGGGTGAACCAGTTCTCACACAAGTGAGTCCAGCTCCCTGGAAACCAGGCTATCCCGGCCTTGAAAATCAGGTTTGATAAGCGAATATATACGTCGAGGAATCTGTGACGGAGAAAACCCTAACTGCAAATATTTCCTGCTACTTCAAGCGTTTGTATACTCTGAGACTTTTCTGTGACTTCGAAGAGCAAACCTATGACTTTTTCCATCAATGTTTGGAACCTTAGTTTGTCATCTTATCACTGAATAATTCTAGTGCTCATAATCAAATATCATGCACAATTTTTAGTTTTAGAACTAGACTTATCTTACATTGCTGAGAGGTATTGCTCCGTCAAAATTTCTGAAGCATGGAGGTAGCGGGTTCGAATACGACAGTAACCTCTGACGTTTCTTTATGCTGACTTTTTTTACTTTGTGTTACTTGTGAAGTTTTTATTAAGTTTTTATAATATTTGTTTAGTGTTTATAAGTCGTTCTATTTGTTTAGTGTTTATAAGCAGTTGTTCTTAAATCGTTCAGAGCACATATAAGCTTGAATATGCATGTGAATAAATAAATAAATGGAATTAGAAATGCAGGTTTAGTAAATATTTCGCAGACTTAACGTTTTTCATGTAAATTCAGGTGCTACGACAAACTCAGCATTTCAGAAATCTCACCCTTTTTTTCATTTCGTTCTATTTTACTTTGGTTTATAAAGTAGAACTTGGTTTTCATTTGTTTATTTATACTTTCATGCACATACACAGACTCGTGTATTCAAGACAACGAAGGTCAAAACAAACCGAAACTTTTGTCAGACTGAAGAATAGATAGCCAAATTAAAGGAGGAGAGTCCGAAATGTAGCCAGGATTGCAATGGGATTCGAGCCCACTACCTTCATACTTCAAGGCATTTGAAAGGAAGCACAATACTCATCAATTTCGTTGGTTCTTTTAGTTTTAAATGGTTTGGTAAATTAGAGCCGATTCTTGTGCTATTAAACTTTATATTCATTTAACAACTCACCCTGTCAATCTTAAACGCAGCCTATGCACTTTCTCGTGTATAGCAACAACGGGCAGTACACATGTATAGCCATATTGCTATACATGAGTACTGTAAGTTTACAAGTAAGAGCTGTTTTCATGAAGCTGTAGAAATTTAGTGATTACAAGGCATGAACATGTGATCCTTTTTTTAATGTTGTTGCCATAAGGATTGGATATAACTGTATGAAGAATGTTTTAACCGCTAGTACGCGAACGAAATTCAGATCAGTTCAAATATTCAAAATTATTTAACAATGGTCTTTTAGCTTGAGCAAGTGAAAATTACATTTTCCTCGACTTTTCAAAAAAATGTCCGACACTTCTTGTCCTAAGACTTGTGACCTATTATCTGTCGCAACAATTTTGTTTTCAATTGGAATTGTGCAGCTCCTTGCAGGAATTATACTTTTGAAATCTGAAAATGTTTACGTTCTTGCTGGTACTGACTTTGCCGTGGCTGCGACTGTGAGTATTATTATGTACAATTTAGAGTCATTAAAACTGTATACGAAAGATTCGTAATTCTTGTTCTCATAATTAAAATTTTCTAATTCGAGTTTGACACGAACCTTAATTTTTCTAGCTATTTGGTTGATGTTCAAACTTTATTAATTTGTTCAATCACATTTTCAAGACAAAAATGGGGAAATATTCCTATCTAACTGGTGTATTCAAAATTTGTGACATTGCAGAGTTGAAATCATTTTTAAATTCAGATGTACGTAATATAAATGTTGGTTAAAGTTAAAAATGATTGCATCTTTCAATATTTTTCATAACATGTTTCTGTAATTCAAATATGTAACTGTGTTTTTAAGCATGAACTGAGGATAGCTTACATGGAAAGAAATTGCTTATTATTATAAAAAACCAAAAGACGCTCTTCTGAAGCTTTTGCAATTGAGGTTTTTCATTGTCCTGTAAGTAATATTTCTCATTTCAGAATATCTTAGTTGGTAGTTTATTGGGAATCGCTGCAAGCGTGTGGGAAAAAAAGAAAAAGGTGGCTTCTTGCAAAAGGGTATGTATTTTCTTATAGAAATATTTCACTGTGTTTTCATACTATTTTATAAAAGGGTTGCCCCAATGAAAAGTGGCCACGCATAAATAGAGAAATACAGTAGCGATAGTAGAACCTTCTCCTAGGTTTTGAGGTAAGAGGGGTGAACGGTAAATGGCGTATATCTAATTTACCATTCCACATGAGAGTATTTAAAATGAATATAAGGTCGATCTAGCTAAGAAGGATTCATCCAAAACAGAACACGATGTAATACGATTTTTAGAGGCCTGAAGTGAGCATAATGCTGACATTTATCACCATATGATTGCTGTTTATAGTAAACAAACGGCTGTGAACAAATGTGTAAAAGTTTTCGTGAGATGGTTTACATCGATATTCGATCTGCCAAGACCCAGATCAAGCAAACTTAATAATATCCAATGAATTCTTTGTTGATAAAATGAAATGATGAGCGGCAAACAATGAGGGGGTCAATAATCTGACATCTATGCCACATTCTGACAGATATAAATAAATGAATGGTTCAATTACACTATTGACACTAAAAATCTGTGCGTTTTTTTCTGGACGCATCCTTCTCAGCTCTACTTTACATTTACTTTAAATGCTTTTATGTGAATTGCTAAATCTAGTTTACGCCATGTGCGGTGCACTGCTCTTACTTACCTACATTAAATTTATTAGATATATTTACGTCCCGGGTTTTTTTACCTCTTTATTTTGTCAATATCCGATTTCAGCGATGGCTTAGGGGAAAGAGCGTTCGCCTTCTAATGTGGTGAACCGGGGTTCGATCCCGGCGATGGCTGGTCGATACGAATTCTGCATCCGGCTTGCACTGACCACAGTGCTGACGTGAAATAAATATCCTTAGCCCCTTGCCGTCAGGTTAACCGTGGGAGGTTCTCGTGGTCTTCCTCTCCATGTAACGCAAATGCGGGCTAGTTCCATCAAAAAGTCCTCCACGAAGGCAAATTTCACCCTATACTTGATCCAGGAGTTCCTTCGGCAACTAGATTGTGTTCAAAATTACAAGGCTACGGAGTTGATCATTAGTAGTCGTAAACTCGAAAATTGGGTCTGCTGTTCAACGACGGTAATGAAGTAAAATATCCAAATTCAATGCAAAACAGTATCACTGTAAGAACTTGCAAATTATTGGAATACTATAAATTAACCATTTAAATTAAAAACAAGGAAAAATAAAAAATTGGTATTTTCCGAATTTCGGTACCCGAAAAATTGGTATCCTGCTGCGTTTTCAACAAATTTGAGCGATGTCATAATTCATTGATTATAAATTTAATAGCATGTAATTAAAGTAGGAAAATAATTTTCTTTTTTTCAATAAGCTTCTTTGATCTACTTTTGAAGCTTACCCGTCTTAAATTTTAAGGATTCCTAAGTTAACACTCTTGAAATACGAGGACAAATAAGTGACATAGAAACGAGAAGCTCGTTTAATTTTATGCTATGCTTAATTTAGCCATTCTGTCTTCTGAGTTGAAATCAGATGCAATGAAAGTTGTTCAAATCAAGAGTTCACGCGTGATAGCCACTGCAACACCACCTTTTTGTTATAAATTAAGGTAATTGAAGTGTGTGGAAGATTTCTATAACTAATTAATCATTTCGCATGAGAGAATATAAAGTGACAGTAAAGTAGTCTTTTTAAAATATAAGAATTTATCTTACATTTTTAAGAAACAAAATTTTTGTCTAAACTTACGAGTATCTATTACTTCCACAGAATTACGAACTTTTCCCATAAAGTTGGGACATCTAGACTTAGCTCTATTTAATTGGGGAATATTGCGCTTGATATCTTTTGGAGTTAATAATTTTCAATAAATTAAAGCAATTGAATTATGCATTTAGTATTTTTGAATACGTGATTTAATTTTACAATTTTTTGAGTGTTTAGATTTTTAAACACTTACGTATTCTTTTTGTTAAACTAGGGATATGCGATTTGAATGAGCTGAAAAAAAAATCTTAAATTTTTATCCTGAAAAGAATTTTTTTTCTCAAAAATCAATAAAGATGCAATTCTAAACTACCTTCCTAAAAATGCTGATTGCAGAAAATTAAATATTGATTAAAAGCAGATAAAAACTTTCCTCTTTCATCTACGTTTTTTTTGAATTTTGCGTTTGGCCCAGAAAAGAGATCTGTCGATGACATTTTATTGAAATTTGTATTAAAATATAATTTAATTTGAATTGGTAAAATGATTTTTATTTTTAGCAAAATGTTCTAGCTTGTTTGTATATAGCTGCATTGAGTATGAATGCTACTGGGGCTATCATAATGATATTGGGGGACGGTAACAAATTGCTGATATCAAAGGACAAAGAAAATGTTTCCAAAGACTTTATGTTTGAAATTACGGCATGTGGTAAGTTAAACTAAACCTCGATTTTATTTTAATTTACCTTTTTATTTTTAGTTATGTTATGCTAAAATATTTTTGGGATTTATTGAATTTCATTTAGTTTATTTCCTATGATGCGATTATTTAGGACAGTGTTCCCCAACCTCCGGTCCGTTAATCAAATGGTACCGGGCCGGGCATTTCATTGAAACTGAATTTAAATTCCTAGGTTTATACTCCAAATTAAAAATATCTGTTCCATTAAAATTTTATTTATTTTGAAAAAGGGGCCCCCGAAAATAGTGACATAAATTTTTTAATGTTTGTAATGTATCATCATTGTCTCCGATAAAAAATATTTCTTAAGTTATTTTTTGCGAAGGATAATTATCTTTGGATAAACGAATTTTATAATTGTGTGCAACAAATTTTCCAATTCGCTTTAAAAGTTCTAGAGATATAGCGAAATACGCAAAGCGGTTGCCCCCTAGGTCAGAAATCCAAATCCGTTGTAAATAGGGTATGTTTATTTAAAGAAAGTACGTTTTTGTGTCTGATTTCGTAACATAAAATATCGTTTGCACTAAATAATTATCATATTTGAAGTCACCCCCCTTGAACCAAAAAGTACGTGCAGTTCATAAACTTAAATTAGCAATCACAAAAAGTTTCAGAAAGTGGTAATTTTTAATTCTATGAACAAATAAAACTCGTTCAATTTCGTTATATTTAGTAGGTACGTAATAACATTTGGTATATTATAGCAACTTCCGGCTATTATGTCCTTAAATTTTAGGTTCAAGCAATCGTTGAGGTTCAATTTCTCATGGTATACAAGAGTAATTTAAGTATACATCTGAAGTACTCAAATAATCTTTTTTTTTCTCGCACTATTTTATTTTAAGTCAGGCATAGTTTCTAGCATAGTCTGTTTTAGTTGTCCTGAATATTAAATGTATTTTTTTGCCCTAAGATCACTTTTCCAGCTTTAAGCTGGAGATTTTCCCCGAATATTTAAAGTGGTAGCAGATTTCCTGCTTTAATCTTTGATGTAAAAATATTTCAACATTCCCAATAAATAAATTATAAAAATATGCATGAAATACCAGAAAAGCAGGTAGTATTGACTTTAGGTAATGGTGAAATTTTGCGAATTTTTGTTTATGTATTATGTAACTACAACTTTAAGCAATGTCGAGAGGTAGAACTTCCGGGTTAGCAGTTTTGCACAAGCTTAGCGCAGTATAGTCATATCCAGCCATTGTGCTGTTAAAGTTACAGTAAATTGTTCAACCATTTACTAGAGTATTTTCACAAGTTTTTAATTGAAAAGTAATTTAAAATAAAATTTCAAAGTAGTATTATAAATGAAAACATAACTTTTTCAAAACAAGCAAAGCAAAGGAAAGGAGTTACCATTGATAGCAGAGCCGTTGTTCACTTCGCTACCATTTTGGCGATCTTACCGACTATGGCTAAATTTTTTGAATTTGTTTTGAGACTCTAGATCAGGGGTTTCCAACTTACATGAGTTCGGGGGCCGCAATTTAAAACACCAGTCAAATGGCGGGCCACAACTTTATCAGAATTTTACATAGTATTTTTTTATAATTGAAGGGAACATTAAATATTACAATCAGATTTTTATCAAGTTGTACAAAACAAAAGTATTGAATTACAAATAATAATAAATATTTTCTTGAATCAATATTTTCTTGGATGCAAAACCTGAGAAATGAATTTTTTTGCACCGTTGGTATGCTAAATTTCACAGAAGCGAAGAAATTAATTTTTTTTTACGAAAGAAAAGTATTTTAAACCCATATGGAATTTTTGCGAAAATTGTCCTAAAAAATGACAATTAATAATTTAGTTCTCGGGTCACAATGGCTTCGCGGGCCGCCAGTTGGAAACCACTGCTCTTGATGCAGCAGGATGACTTTTCTGTTGCAAAAACGGGTCATGATAAACCAATTTGTTTTTGATATATGAAATTGATTTTTATTTATACAGAATCATAGTTTCATATTCTAAGGCATAGAAAAAACGTTACAATTTGTTGTACAATGTTATTTTTTCCCATCTAATAACTTTTTAAAATCATGTAATATGTGCTTTGTACTTTGTACGAAAACTTTTTTTATCGAAACCTAAGTATATTATGTTTTACAATTACGTAATCAAAGGAAACGTCTTTTTAAATGAATAAAAATCGCAAAGCATTACAAGATTTCAGTCAACGATATAATATTGAAATCTCATTAAAATTGATTCACTACCTTCTACGATATTTGCGCTTTAACTTTAGTCTTTAAAACGTATCCAAATTATTTGAATTTTCTCTTAGAGGTGAAAAAAGTTGGACGAAATTAAATAAGAAAAAAAAATCAGGGTCAGTGTTATTTAAAGTTGATGTTTTCCTGATCTGCATCATTAGGCTGAAATAAAAATCGCTTATTTTTTCGTTGATAGTTTTTCTCAGTCAGATATTGCAATCGGGGAATCATTGACATTGACATACTGCATAAAAAAAGTTTACAAAGTTGCCTCAAACTATAAAATGAAATAAGAAAGAATTTTTGTCCTCATCCTAACATTTTTGTAAAATAAATATTAAAACTGGATATCTTCTAAACTTTCATTATCTGACTAAGAAACATGCACCATGTTAACTTCGTCAATTGAATATTCTCATAACTACTGAAAGTATTGATGTGTGTATAAGTGCAGGACTAATTGAAATTTTTACAGTGCGTACGCGTCTATAAGATTAGTTGATTCTATAATTTAAATTATTAGATTTATTATACATCAATTTTGTAGAAAATAAAATGAGATTAACTATACCGCATTGATTTATTTTGCAAAGTCTTTAAATGGTGTTGTAGATCTCAATAAATGATTGAACTATAATATACTGATAATCGTTCAGCGGCAGATGGTTCCTAGGGCATTTGGCAGCAAGCATACCACGTAGTAACCTTAGAAAGCATTTCTTTTGGTACCAAATGATTAATTTAAAGGAGTGGACATAGGACGCTATGACGCGAATAGTTTAAATTCATTTTAATGATTTATATACTTCGACAAGTGGACAAGAAATAATCCTTATTTCATAATGTCAGCGTAATAAATTTAAAGTTAACTTACACAAAGTCCTTAAAATTTAACTTAGAACATTCATACACTTACCTCTTTAATTATGATTATGATTAAATTATGATTATGATTAAATTATGATTATGATTAAATTATGATTATGATTATGATTATGATTAAATTAAATTATGATTATGATTATGATTAAATTAAATTAAATTATGATTATGATTAAATTATGATTATGTGTTATAATTAAATTAGGATTTCTGTGTTATAATTAATGAAACTATAATTGATTTATTTAGCATTATAATTATTATTTATGATTACATTTGGATTAATTGGAATGACTCATGATATAAAAAAATAGGTTTTCAGTGTGTAAATTAAAATGTTTGCTCAGTTGAATTAAGAATTATGTCACGTTTCATATGAATAAATGTGAGCATTACGCAGCAAAATTTTTAAATTCTAAATTCAATCGAGCTTTCTTTAAAATAATCAACTAAATACTACAATGGTTTATGTTTTACTTATGAGAACTTATCAGATTTTTGAATTCTATCTAAACGAATATCCTATTTAATTACTTTGTCCAATCCTATATCTTTAGAATATGATTCACTTTTTCAAAAAGATTATTATTATTTTTTTTTTAAGCTTACGTAACTTCTGTCTGTTCACCGATAGTATGCTTGGTCATTGCTCTCGTTTGTCTATCTGGGATTAGGATTCAGATTCATGACAATATGAAGAAGAAAAATAGTGTAAGTTCTTTTCAGCTTATTCATTTAATAAAAATGAACTTATTTAAAACAGTTTCAGTGTATTAAACACAGATTATACTGTTGAACTGAAATAATTGTTGTACAGAAAAATATATCAACACTATGACAGTAAATTTTTTTTTTAAATTTAAACTATTCGATTGATTTTTTATCAGTTGCTTTTAAATAAATTACATTAAAAACTTAAGATATTCCTTCCAGTTCTTAAATATGAATTATTATAACGGAATTGGATATTACTTTCGAAGAAAATGTTTAAAATGAGTAATTTGTAATTTAAATTTTAAGATATGTGATGTAGAAACATTTTAAAGTTTAAGATGCGTTATTAAAATTTTAGTGTTAATCTTGTTTCTGAATTTCAATTCGAAATTATTGAAATAATTATTTATAATATTACTAATAATTTGTAAGAAAATTAATAATATAATAATAAATTTGATAGAAATAATAAATAATAATTAATAATTTGAAATTAAATAATAATAATTAATGATAATATATAATAATTTGATACAAATAAATTTGAAGGAAAATATATATTTCATAAAGAAAATCTAATTTCAAAAAATTTTAAGGAAGCTTATGTACAAAAATATTGCAAAATATAAATTTTACAGGATCGAACGTAACTTAGAAATTTGCACAAAACGTAAAGCTAAAATTAAAAATTTACAACAGTAAAAAATAAGAAATATTGCACCTATCTTCAAAAAATTTCGAACCTATCGCTCATGGGCTGCAATAGTGGCACAACTCAAAAAAGACGATTTTTGGACTAAGAGCAGGTGTCAATATGAAAATACACATTCTTTCAGCAGCAATACCATCACAACTCATAATTCAACTTAAAGGTAATCTTCGTTTAAGAAAACTAAAGCATTTCTTATGCATTTTCCTTAGCAGTGAAAACTTTAAACCCACTTATCTCAAAACTTGGTTTTTTGAGTTGTGCCGCTATTGCAGCCCATGAGCGATATTCTTTTAATATCATTTTGTAGAATAGAATATTTCATGCGGCGCCGGCTGGCAGGTCGGTATTTTATAGAATCTATTTTAAAGCAAATTTGTGTAGGTCAAGCAAAGATTGAAATAACTAGAAGCAGATGCAGTAAGGAAAGACGGTATCTCTTTATTAAATTCTTTTTCCTGGCCAAAATAGAAAAAACTACATGATAAAACTACAAATATTGAAGTAAAACGAAACAAATAATTCCTTATAAAATAACTTTCAGCTGAGGATTAAAAGATATTATAGTATATCTCCTGATAGTCATATAAAAAATTAAAATTAAAAAATTCTCAATTTAAAAATTTAAATCCCTTTTGATAAAGAGACAATATTTAATTTTGGGAAAATAATTCAATTTTAGGGAAATAAGATTTTTTAATTAGAATGAAAACTAATACTTTCTCGATTATCAGTGTTAAAAATATTAATCCTTTTTTTATATTCTGCTCATAATCTGAAGGCTAACACAAAACGATTGCCGGGAGGGGGGGGGAGCTTAATAGGGGTGCCTTAAGAGTTGCAAAAAAGTTACACAATCATTTTGATAAGTAAAATACAAATTGCAAATTAATAACTATTTTCAAATGAAAAAAAATCTAGTCAACCCTCCGATTATACTTATTAAATTAAGGAATTTTTATTAAAAGAATTTATAATAGAGCAGTTAGAATGTAATGGGGGTAAATCAAATTTTTAATTACAATTAATTTCCTATCATATTTAGTCTTTTACGAACAGAAATGGTGAAAACTTTCGAATTTAATTTAATATCTAACACACCGCTGATATAGATCAATTGCAGTTAGTATTTTGTTATAATCAATGTATATAAAGACCTTAGCGTACTAGCTCGAGACAGTATGTGAAAAGTTCTAAAAACATTTGTGGCATCACATCCTTGATAAATCCACGGGTTTTGTTCCAACATCCAACGATTATCATTTTATACTGTATCTGTAGATAATTTTATATTCACTTATGACGTCTTCCTTCATTGGATACTCAATGACTATGTTATACTGTTATAGGAAATTAAATTCTAAAGTCTTTTTTAACCGTTATCATTTTGTACTGATGTGTGTGCTTTAACTTTGGCCTCTTTCTTTAGATAACAAAAGCAGAATCCTATGGATGGGTGTTTGAAAACAACCATGACAGTCGCTCAAGAAACCTTGGTGCTCTTCTCCAAGATTCATCCAATCAAAATGCTTCAGTTTCTGATGATAACGTATTCCTCGACCAAAGATCTGCCACTAAAAAGTTACTGAAGGTAAAACCTTCAAAAAAGACCAAATCGAGAGATTCAGTTACCTCCGTTAGTGAACTTAAAACTCCTTTGGAGATTTGGACCCACAAACGCAACAAGATGATAAAGGAAATAACCTCGCCGCAACCTATATTTTTTGCCGATGATTACCTTCAATTTCCAGACTTTAAATATGATTCTTACATTGGATTTAAGATTCCAAGAATCACCGAAACTTCTTTCATCCGACCGGGCAGTCGTGGCAGTAATCAAACAGAAAGTTCCACAAACTTGGAACGCCAAATAGACAAAATCGAAAAGACGATGTCTTGCAAACCTTCTAAACCGCATTTAGACGAACTCAACAATAAACTTGCTTCCAGACGATTGAGTTATCCTGACTCTGCGCACCTTGTTGAAAAGTTTGAGTGTAATGAGGAAGAATTGGAAAATTTGCCTCAAACCGCATTAGAAGATCACAAAAAATCCATTGATGAAACAGACTCTCAAACTTCTCATCCAACTCACCCCAAATTGCAGAGAACTCAAGCAAATTTAAATCCTAAAATTGCACCAAAACATTTAAAACAGCAATCGGCATGCTTCGATTCTGAAGCAATCTGTTCTCCTGAATTGCCTTCTGAAAGTTCCATAGTTGGAAGCCTAGATTGGCTCCAGGGCTCACATAAAGCACGACGAAATTCAAACGATTCAGGTTCATCAGGTTTGACAGCTGAAACAATCAGTGAGTTGAAAGCAAAAATTAATAAAATGAGCTTTGCTGAAGACGAAAGCCCAGAACAAAATAAAGAATTTTTGAGATCATTCAAGCAGGACGGTAAACGAAAGTCTCATTTGTCTGAGTCTGACGTTGGATGTAACCAAAGTGCTTTTCAGAAATTGCATGCCAAGTATGCAGTTTTTTCACAAAACTCTGAAAGTGATTCTAAAACCACGTTAGCTGGTGAAGTCGTTCCAATATCGGTTAGGCCAACTGCAATCAATAGAGCCAATAGCATTCCTGTAAAAACAATTTGTTCACAAACTGCAAATAGATATTCTGTTGATGTGAAAAATATTTCATCAGACCAAAGGCTGGATATGGACTCGGATGATAGCAAATTTTTACCTGCAAATGGTGAATCTCAGTCAAGTCAGAGAACTTATCCTTTTTCCAACAGCTATAAAGAAAAATCTACGCATAAATCAGATACAGAATCCATTGTAAGTGGCAATATTAAATTTATTTTTGCTCCTAAAATTACTTTAATACTATTCAGTATTCGATAAATTTGTATTGGTTAATAGGTTAAATTCATTTCATTTTGAAATCTCCATAGATTTTGCTGGTACTTGAGGGGCTTCCAATGTAAAAAATAAAGGGCATATGGACATTCAAAATCTTAAAATAAATTTTTCTTTTTTATTAGTAAATTTATAAAAAAACCATTTGTGAAACTAAACAAATTTTTTTATATGCAAAGTCATGAATATTTTTCTTTTTAATTCAGTTACAAATTAATACTATAACTTAAATGCATGTAACTAAAAATGTCAATTATATTACAATGTTTTGTTAAATGATCTCAATTTTTAAAATTTTTGATCAAAAAATGATTTTGAATAATTGTTATATAAAAGGAGATTCTTGTATAAATTGAAAATTTCAAGAGTTTAATAAGAACTAAAATTTTTTATAGTTAATTTTTTTTTTAAAAAAACCTCGTGAGATTTTTTTTATCCATTTCGATTAATTTTTGAAAGCATTTGAATTAATTGTTTCAAAGCTTATTTGTCATTAAATTTTGCAAAAATTAAGAAAGTTGTGTGGCGGAATGTAACTTTTTTTCTTATGTTTAAAATTTTATTACAGCCATTATTTTTCAATAAATCTTTGGAACTTAGTTCATTGGGTTACCTTGTACGCGAAGTAAAGCTGACACACGGAACATGTTTTCAGCATACAAATAAAGTTTTAAAAGTGCATTGTCCTTTTTTAAAATAGAAATAAAAAATATTCAAAATATTAATGAATATTGCAGGAAGGCAAATACTTATATCGTTGCATGAGTTATGTGAGAGACTTATGCAAGAGTTCTTTTTTATGTTAAAAAATCTGCAAATTTATTCCTTCAAAAATAGACATGATTAACCATCTGACGACGAATTTTTTTCAAACATATTTTTTATACTTTTTCATTATTTTGTATTAACTTAGGTCAAAATAAAAGAAATATTATATTTAGCATTTTAAAAATTTATGTTTATGGAACACAGCATGAGACATTGCTATATTTTTCTGCATTAAAGGTAAAATCTTCCGATGGCGGCTAACTTCCAAGCAATAATTTTTCAAATTTGCACTTACTTGCATTTATTTAGATCTAGGAGAAACAGTTATGCATCAATGAAATTTCGTTAATTACAAAATTAAAATATTCATAATTTTTTGATATGAATGGAAAAAATTGTTTTCTAACTACTTTTTTGGATGTTATATTTCGGTATACAATTTCTATAAAACCTAACAGATTTTTTCATTGCTTATTATCAAAGCGTCAAAGGATTAAAACCATCAGTTTTAAGAATATCATAAATGTTATCCTACCATTAAAAGGTACGGTAGAATATGACATAAACAAATATAAATATGTATTTGTTAGATAACCAAGAAAAACCAAATTTGTGTTTTTACAAATGTGGTCAAAACTAGTTTTAAAATCCTTTAAAAATTATCCATCATCTTACAAGTAAACATAACTTTTCAAGCCCATAAGTATTTTTTATCCTATCAGAAAATATTTTCTTTAAAAAAGATGAAGTACTATTAGTTATTATTATTAACTTTTCATATCTGAAGATCTCATACATTAGAATAATACAAGCAAATACATACTAATTTAAATTACTAAATTAGAAATTTATTGAAACAGTGGTTTATTGTATTTCTAGAACTTTCTGCAAAATTACAAAACATTGATAGTTAAATTTCAGAAATATTATGAAAAATGACTATAAAATTCAATTCTATCAATTCATTAATTTCAATTAAATATTTTCAATTTGAATAATATTCGAGGAACAAATATATAATGTAAGCAATGAATATATAATGAAGCTATGTAAGCAATGAATTGAATTTCAAATATAAAAATCACCTCAGTGTTGCAACGTTGTAGAAATAAGTTGAACTATATGTGCTCTGAAATCAATTCAGAGATAGCCCTACAAAACTCTTTTGTTAAAATATTTACTCTTTTTGTGTTTGTTGCAGACATGCTACACGGTGACACCAATAGTAAGTTTTCAGTTTCTTTCGACAGTGTTACCAGTGTTTTCTTATATTTGTATTTGCATTTGCTCAATATTTTTCAGTAACCTAAAAATTCTCATAAGAGAAGCGTATAATACTTATTGACATCTTTAAAATGCATTAAAAATGCAATATTTCTTGTAGAATTCTTCCAAGCATTCAGAGGAGAAATGTCATTTCAAGCAAAGAATGTCTATTATGGGTTCTATTGCAGAATCTCCGACAGAAGAATTCCTTCAAGTCATTTCAGAATCTGAAAAATCAGATCGTGAATCATATAATTCACCACCCAAAACAAATAACGACAGAGATTCACCTACGGATGGACCAAGACTGGCAAAAAACTCCTTTTCCTTAAAGCGCTTTTCATCTAAGGCGGCACCAAATTTGCTGAACAGGCTTTGGTATGTAATGTTCTAAAATGTCATATTGCGCCTTTCGATCGGATTTTCTAGTACTAGGATTTAATTTTAATAATTCACGAGGGTGACCCCAAATATGCTTATGAGTGCAGACGATATTTTAAGTTATGAAATTCATAAAAAAGTACTTCCTCTAATTTTTTTCAAAGGATTTGGATTCCTTACCCTCAAAGTATGGGTTGGGGGGAAGCAAAAATCTGTTCCAATTGTATAAGAACGGTTCTAAATTTGGGCCCTTAATGTTGATTTCAGATTTTGCGCTTTGTACAATGTCTCCAACTTTTAAAGTGAATCGAAAACCTTTTGGACACATTTATAAAATTTTTTTATCCTAAGATAATTCCATGAAAAATATTTTTAATTTATTTTTTTATTTTAGTTAACAATAGTCGAAAAAAATTTTGAATTGTAATTTTTAAATTTATCGAAAAAAATTTTGAATTGTAATTTTTAAATTTTTTTTTTATAAAATGACGTTTTTTGTGCATTTTCTGTGTCAAGAAAATATAATTGTTCACTAATAAATTGATTTCAAAATTTTTAATACTGTCTTTTAAGAAAGCTATGTACTATTGTTTTCAGTGAAAGTTAATTTATTCCATTTTTATTTTGAAATTTATAAGTTTACTTTTTTAACCCTGAAAGTCTTATATTTCAAGTTCACTTATCCTCAAGTAAAAGTATAATTAATTACATAGTTAATTAGATATTATAATATAGTTAATTAATAAGTAATTGTACAATTAATTGTAAGTCATTTTATTTTATAAATTTCATTAGTACAATGAAAGCCATAAAATAAATTTTTTCATTTACGTGACATTGGATATAGTAAGTGAAGGGGCTATACCACCTATAATGAAGCATTGGCCCATTTTAGGTTAAAATGTTGTATATTGGAATCTTTCGGTGCACCCATACAAAATTTAACTTATTTGAAGTTTTGTTGACTCAGTTGTTTAAGTTAAAAAAAATTTAAATTTTCAGAAAATTTCTACGTATTTTACCTTTATATTATGTTATATTATATTATGTACGTATTTTACCTTTATGCCGATTGGTTTATATATTTCAAAATATTCAAGAAAGTGGAAGATTAAATATTGTAAATAAAATAAGATTTTTATAGCTAAACATTGATGTCTTCGGGAAGTTTTTAAATCTGGACACAGCTCGAAATGCGTTTTCACGAAATTGATTCCGTTTTTTAAATTTAGAGTTTTTTCTTTTTAAAGAACAAACTAAGTAATTCAAATAAATTCGTATTGTCATATCTGGATGCAGAAACGTCACCTGAAAAGTTACATCCGTGTTATAACTACCCACCTTGACCCCGAAGTCTGGCCCACAGTGATTATGGTGTTTAAATAAGCAAGGAAGAATAAACAAAATTTCTCATTTCGATGCTAAATTCTTGGGTTGAAAACTGAAAAAAAAGTGTTTCGATCTGTCCGTTTTCGTAAACACGCATTTCGAGCACTGTCCAGATTTAAAAACTCACTTAGGCGCTTCTTTAATACAATATTGAAATTTCTTAAATATATTTTCTAGGCATGAGATTGCATTTAAAAATTTTCATTCCTTGGGATGTCTTATTTCATTAACTGAAATATTTTTCGACATTTAAAAAAGAATTTTTTTTTTTTTTTGCTTCTTTCTTGACTAGGATTAAACAAACATGTTAAGGTTGGTTATTACAGAACACCTTGGATAAATGTAGACACGAATGATTGAAAGAGGAGTAAATAAAATTTTCTTTTCAAGGTCAATGAAGAGGTCTGAAACGAAGACTGATTTCAGCAGTTTAATTATGGATAGTGATTCATTGGTCGGTCTGAATGACGAGGAATTAATGGCCAGAACACGCAGAATACGCCAGTTACGAAAGGTAAATAAAATTTGAAAGATTTAGTGTCAAAATAACTAAAAAAAAGAGTGGTCATTTTTGCTTTTTACCATGCATGATATTTAAGTTATAAAAGATGCCGTTCCTTCGAATCTTTTAAAAAAAAAGAATAGTTTCGGTAAAGCAGAGTTAGGTTACTTTTTTTTAATCTTTGCAAATAGTTCTAAATATCTTGCGAAAGAAACTTCGGCACCTTTTTTTTTTTTAAGTGACTGAAGAAGTGCACAGTGTACAGTGCACCAGGAAGAAAAAAAACGAACCACCCTGAATGTTTTGATCTAATTTCGGATGAGAGACGCGATGGCTCAGGGGGGAGAGCGAATCCTAGTCTATACAAATCCCGCTTGCACCGACCACAGTGCTGACGTGAAATATCCTCAGTGGTAGACGGATAATAGGTTAGAGTCCCTTGCAGCCAGACTAACCGTGGGAGGTTCTCGTGGTCTTCCTCTCCATGTGGCGCAAATGCGGGTTAGTTCCACCAAAAAGTCCTCCACGAATTCTAATTTCTCTCAATACCCGATCCAGGAGTTCTCTTGTCTTCTGGATTGGGTTTAAAATTACAAGGCTACGGAGTTGAACTTTAGTAGTCGTAAACTCATAAAATTGGGTCGGCAGTTCAACTACGGTTATAAAATAAAATAAAATAATGATCGGATGATCACGTTCTAGGACTCAACTCCCTTTTTGAAATGCGCTATTGTTTCCATAACAGCAGAAAGCCTCACACTTCGGGGGGAGGGGAGTTCTTTCAATAGACCAACTGTACGTTCAACCTGAAACAAAGCTGTAATACTATCATGACGTGAAATATTATCTAGATTTCAAAACTAATAATCAGCTTAAATGTTTAAGATTATTGTACTGTTTAACCCTTAGTAGCTATCCACCCAATTGCACACAAATATTGTATGCTCGGGTCTTTTTAACCAGTAGATAGCTAGTAAGGTTTAAAAAAAATCACCAATTTGGTAGGGATTTTTCCCCCTTGATAGAAATCATTTAAACCAATGACAAATTCCCAATTCCTACGAGTCTAAACCCTGAAGCGCTGGAATAAATTTTCTAATCAAAAAATGAAATCAAAATTGCTTTTAATTTTTACAAAAATGGCCTTTCTTCATATTGACATTTTGCGCCATTTTCAATTTTAGCATGAAGAACACTGGCTAAAAATTGACAAAACGTTTGTCACGAATAATTAAAGATTTATAACTAAAATCATTGTTTCATTTGGCGAAATAATCTTTTGCTGAACAGCTAAACTGTAGAAATCATTTCGTTATACATACCAATTTAACAGAAGGATATTCAACGCTGTCTTAATAATACGTAATTTTAAGAAACAAATTAATTTATTGCTAATTTAATTTTTTCTTTTTGTATTTTCAGTCAGTTGAATTGAGATCGCAGCTTGAAAAGCACGATGATGTAGTTTGACCACTCAATAAGACAAGAAAAATGAATTGTGAATGACGAACGAGGTGGTGAATTGGCTCTAGAATACTTATTGCAGTGTTCCGAACATAGACTTTTCATTGTTTAAGATTATATTTAGTTCAGAACTGATCGAATCAGTTCAGAATTCAATCGAAGAGCCAGTTTAAATGAGTGATTTAATCATGAATTAAAGAGCCAGTCTAAATGAGCTGTTTTTATTGTTGTATTTTATGTGCATTTATGAAATCCATGTTCGTGTAAATTTTTCTGAAATGTAATTTTATTTCTTTTTAATAACAATAAAATTTATGATTTTTAATACTTTCTACTGTGGATTATTGTTGGTACGTGGTATTTTTTTATTAATTTTGCTTTGAGTTTAATTAAATTCGCTTCCGTTGTGAAAAGCAAATTCTCCCAAAACAATAGGTCAGTTTTGCGACAAGCAGCTTTTTGAATTTTCTTCTCGTACTCTTTCCAATTTTGAAAAATAAAAAATTATTTGACGGTAGACTTTTCGAATGATCCAGTTCTTTTTACATGATGCCATTATTTATTTAATAATTCTTTTCTGAACATTTCAAAATTCTAGCGGAAGAACAAACGATAAAAAACGTTAAAATCTTTAATAAATATAAAATACAAAACACTATTTTTAAAATCTTAGGAAACATTCTAACGGAATCTGGTTTGATCGTCTGGTTTTTAAAATGTGTCAATACAATTCTAATTTTCTAAAAGCATTTTTCATATGAATTTTTAAAACCGCTCTTGTTAGTTTGATTCCTTCATTCGGTATGTTTAGTACATAATAACGATTGTGTTTGGAATATTAGTCTGCTTCTCACGTTTATCATTAGACTGATATTAAAACAACTAATCAGAAAAGTACATTTCAAAATTTTAGCAATCCTTTATTTTTATTGATAAGAAAGGCAATGAACGGTTACTAGTTTGAACAATATATGGAGCAAATCGTGAAATTTTTCGAAGCAAAAGGGAAATTGAAAGTGCATTCATAAAGTCAAAATATTTTTACCGTTGAAGTAATGTTCTATTAAATTTTGTGTTTTGGCAATGGAATTAAAAGCTAAGAATTTTGAAATTAAATTTTTTTCCTTGCGTTGAAAATAATCAAGGAGAGAAAACAATCCTCAAAACAACAAAAAAATAGTGAATTTCCATTGCATAGAAACCCATACCTTTTCAAAATTTTAAAAAGTAAATTTTCAGATAAGTAGTGAAAAAAAATTAAGAACAAAAGCAATCTATAATAGTGCTCTGAAAATTTATGATTTAAGACACTTTTTTTTCTTCTATAAATTCAAGAATTTAAGAATTTTTTTTATTTTCTATGTTTCTCTCTCTATTTTCTAAAATTCTTTTCAAAAGTATTTATGCAGTGAACACTTTCGAATAGTTACAGAGAAAAGAAAAATTCTGAACGTATGACCTATTCTTGATTATTTATAAAATTGGTCTTTTGAGAATATTTATTGAGAGAAAATTCGATGGCGGTTAGCAATTTTTAAGATAAATATCGGGCCCCATTACTCTAATGTACCCAAATGATTTCTTAGATATTTCCGCTTTTCCTCACGTCTTTGAGTCAAAATTAGTTTCTGGTAGTCTATAATTAGATTACTTAGTAACATGTAGATTATGGGATTTTATGGAGGAAAATTTAAAATCATAAATTTTTCATAAACTTTTTCTTAAAAATAATTGCTTTCTTTAAAAGAAAATTTAAATTTTATTCATTCATTGATCGAAAAAATTGGACGGAAAAAAAAAGTTATGTAAGAACTTAAGAAGCTTATTTTTATAATGTGGTTATGTCATAGCCGATTTTATGGCCCAATAAAGAAAATGATCAAGAAATATGTTTCCTTACCCAAAACCATATATATTTTGTTCCTGAATTTGTTTAATTTGAATTTGATTTTAATTTATGTATTTGTTTTCGTCAACTGTATGAAATGACTGATACATTATTTACGGAGTATAACGTCTGGGGATATCTTTTCCTTCATCGGAATTAAAATAATTGGAGGAGAAGAAGAGAAGGGGATGGGGTGATCCTTTTCGAAATCGAATTCTGGGTAATATATTTTAATATGCAATAAAGGGTAATAAGTAGCGAAAGGAAAAAAAAAGTAAAATATTAACATTATTTACAAGTACTTGACATTTAAAAAAGTATTATATAAGCACGATCACATAAAAAGTAAGTAGCAAAGTCCGAAGAATATCGTTAAGCACTATCCAAAGTTTTCTTATTTTAAATAAATTTAGAGCAATGAACTCTGAAAAATTAACTAAATTTCAGTTATGTTATAATTGAAGCTTCTGTGGACCAATATTTTTGTAAATAGGTAAAAGAAAAAACTCTTTATACTGTGTTTCATAGATGGCAGCACGATTATTAAATAATTTGTTACTCTGTTTTCAAGAGTGGTTGAAAAAAAAAAATCCTTATCTGGCGCCATCTGTTGACAGTAATCAAATAAGTAGTTTAATACAATCTGATTATTACGAATTAAAAAATTTGCAATATTCATTTCGAAATAAATTTTTAAAATTCATTTAACTAATTTTGAATAACATGAAAATTTGTTGGCTTATAAAGTGCCTATCCCAGAAAGCATGTAACCTTACGACAACGTTGTGTTTTAACTTTATTTTCATTGTCACGAAAAGGTTTGCAGTAAAAACCTTTTTTCAATAAAGCAAANAGTAATGCTTTTAGCAGTTGCTGTGTTCAGTTTTATGTTTCGTTCCTTTACCGAACAGAATTTATTTGTGAGATTTTAGTAACTAAATAAAATAAAAAATTGTCAATAGTACCCCATATTTGATCAAAATTTAAGTGCTCTTTTTTTTTATTTGGTAGCAAAAAAATAAATAAAAACAAATTTTTTTTCCATAGTCAGTCTGTTTCTGGATCTCGAGCTCGGCTGATTCTGAAAAGTTTTCCGCCAACGAGTGCCAATTATGCAAACGCAGTAGAAATCGCGGAAGCTTGTTTCGGTAGAGATGATTTGTTAGTAAGTCAGAGAACTCCTGAAATGAATAATTTCTGTTAATAAAAATTAGGAGTTTCTATGACAACCTTAGAATATGAACTCGAATCACAAGTGGGAGCTTTAGAAACTTTGGAAGTTACGACTGGAAAATATGCTTCGATATTATACTCAATGATGGAATCCTGTTATAGCGAAGATTTTGTTTGAAAGCTTGTAATCGTCATCCAACATGTTCAACTTCTGTTGATGTCAAGGAGATGTTGAACATTCTAATGGAATTATAAAAGCAGAAGTTGAAGGTGATGAGCGAATAAATTTGACAATGTTAATGCAAAGTTACAAAGAAAAAAAAATGGCAAAAGAATTCTATATTTTCTTTTAACAACGCACCTACTGTTGCCAATTTGTTGCGGACAGCATCAACTAGAGAGTTGTCATTAAGTGTATATTTTCCAACGGCAAGTATAAGTTTTAGGTTCACCAACAGCTCTTATGTTAAAAGGAAGATTTGTACTAAGAGAATGGGAGTATTCTGGTCAGTGCAGAAAAAGTAATCAGAAAGTTGAATAAAGAATCGGACCCGTTTAAAATCGACATGAGCTAATGTGACAGAAAACATGGAAAAGGTGAATTAGCTGGAATGAAGACATCAAATGCGAGGTACGGAACTAGCTTTTAGTATGGTTTCAAGAGCTAACATACTTATAAGACCTTGAAGCTCCAAGATATATTGGGGTAACTAAAAAAAAAATCTCGGTAATTGTTGCTGACATACTTTTGTTGATGGTAGTTGAAATACTTAAGCAGCAATGACATTTCAGAGAACTGAAAAAGAGTATGGTATTGAAGTGTTTTCCAAGCTTCTAAGTCTAGAGTTTTTTGTTTGAGAGCAGCCATGATTCATAAAATGGAACTTTTAGCTTTTGTTACCCAATTGACGAATTCCATCACTAAAGCTTTACAGTGAGAGAATATCAAGAGGCATTATTGGAGTGATTCGACAATTTTGTTGGCGTGCACGAGATTTTTGAAAACTAAATAATCACTCAATTAGAAAATTTGNATTTTTCTATATATTGAATTATTTTTAATCTCTCACAGGACCTTCTATGGGCCGAAACGAATGTTGCCCCCTAAAATTATTCCTCATAAGGCATACATCCCACTAGTTTAGTTCAAAATTGGCGAGTCACACTTCCCTAGTTTCCCTTGTAAGTCTAGAGTTTTTTCTTGAGAGCAGCCATGATTCATAAAATGGAACTTTTAGGTTTTTGTTACCCAATTGACGAATTCCATCACTAAAGCTTTACAGTGAGAGAATATCAAGAGACATTATTGGAGTGATTCGACTTCTTTGTTGGCGTGCAGTACGCAATCGAGTATAAACGAGATTTTTGAAAATTAAATTATTCCATGTCTTGGAGGCATGTGCCGGGGAAAATAATCTGCCAGTTGGTCATCGCGAGGTTGTAAAGCAAAATAACTATATATATATATTACCTATATATAGATATATTCTGTAATTAGTATTTAGAGAATAGTTATTTCGTTCTATAAATTTTTTGACGATGCCTGCTCTCTCTCTCTGCTTGCATAAATTTCAGAAATTAAGATAAAAAAATGTGTATTGAGGTGCAACCTTTAATTTTAATCTAGATTTTTTATCTTTTGCTTATAATATAACTACAGGGCTCTATAAATCAAGCATAAATATTTTTATAATTATGTGACAAGGATGCGATCATTTTTTAAGATTATTCGGATAGGTCGCCGATAACCTAGGAAATAATTTTTAAAAAAAAGAAAGAAAAAAGATAAGAATGAAATGACGATTAATTACAGAAGAGGAGAAAATAGTGATCGCAGGATTGCGATCGATGGTTAACTGTTGGTCAAACCTTTCCAGATAGTCTTTCATTTTTCAAGTCATGGGTTGCAAAAGCTGCATCAGTTGATGCATATACTCGTGTCTCCCAATATGCTGAATTGTTTCAGTTCCAGCTAATAATTTCTTAAGATTTTACATTCTTTTTCTTCATATTTATATTAAATTTGCTGCTGTAATAGTGATTATGAATAAGTTAATAATGAAAAGAACATAAAAATACCTTAAATTACTATTATTGAAGAACATTAAAAATGCACGCTGGTAAAAAGAAAAAGAAAGAAAAAAAAACTTCGTTTGGAAAACGAAGTTAGAAAGTGAGAACGAAATTCTAAGTTCAAAAATTATCGTCTGCTCTTTTATTTTTATTTGATCTTGTTGTGTTGCTTTTTTCATTAATGCTTATCTTA